ATAAATAGGGAGATAGACCAATGGAATAGGGTAGAAAAATCCAAAAATACACTCCAAAATATATAAGAATTTAGTAATAAAGGCTCATCTCAAAACAGTGGGGCAGGGTACATTTGGGATCTTACTCCCTGGCACATTTTGTTCAGTTTGGCTCAAATAAACTTATAAAAATTTTCAACACACACACAAACAGTGCGACAAAGATAGACTATTCCACTATTGTTATTGGGATCACTATGTAGCCATTTGGAAAATGATAAAGTTGGATTTATATCTTATACCTTACCCTAGGATGGTAATTCCAAATGAATCAATATTTTAAATGAAAATTAAAATATAATTTTAGAAGAAACTATGGGAGAATTCTTTTAATACTTTGAAATGTAACAATCACACAAAATCCAGAAGCCATAAAATAAAAGTAAATAAATTCAACCATATAGAAATAAAAAGTCTTCTGCAAGACAAAAGACAAATGGCAGGTGAAAAACACAGGAAAATATTTGTAACTCATTCACTTTCTTTTATATAAAAGGAAGAATATTAAGTATCCATATTTGCATTTGCTTATGTATGCATAAAGAAACTCTGGAAGGATTGGAAACTAAGAACATTAGTTATTTATGGCAGAGGTAGAATACTGGCTACATGGAGGGTAAGAATAGGAAACTTTTCACCGTATAACTGTATATATTTTGGCTTTTGAACCGGGTGAATATGTTGCCTATCTGAAAAGTTAAATTTTGAAAAAGTCCCAACTCTCATATAGCTTATTTTCCAGTGAAGGGAGACAGATAATAAGTAAGCATACACTTGGGATCCTAGTGAGATAACTAAATCCATGAATATAAGGAACTTATTTAATATACTTCATTAGCACCTTATAAATAGTGAAGCACATAGTAGTAGCTCAACAAATACTTTTTGAATAACTATAAAATTACTTATTTTAAATCCTCTTAAGTTTGTATGATTATGTTATTGTTTTATGTGCTTTTCAATATAAGGAATATCATCAACTGAAACTATAACAGATTGGGACAGATCCAAGATGGCAAAATAGATAAACACTGTGTGTGCTTCCTTCCATGAACACATTAAAACTACAACTAAATTATAAAACAATAAACCTGGAAAACCATCTGAAGTCTGCCTAAACAAACATTTTATAACTAATATTATAAATAAGGAGTCACGCTGAGACTTGTAGGAGGGGTGGACACATGAAATGGGCTGGCCCTAAATTTCCATGTGGTGTTTGAGAATTGGGAGGGATAGCTCAGCCTTGGAGGTTCCCCACAGAGGAGCGAGCCCCACACTGGCCTCCTCAGCCCAGAGTACTGGTGCCAGGAAGAAGAGCCCCCGCAACATCTGGCTGTGAAAAACAGTGGGGGTTCCGATCTTCCGGGTGGGATGGAAGGCTGCAGGAAATCCAGATGTCCTCTTAAACAGCCTGCACACAGACTCGCTCGCAGTCACTCACCCTGGGCTTCCGTGGAGGGATGGTGACTCGGTGGGCATCGGAGGTATACAGGGGCAGACTGAGGTGTGTGGTGTTAAGGCGAGCGCTGGAGGACAGTTGCCATTTTCCCTATGAGGGGGCCTTCTCCTGTGCAGCTAAGAGGTGGGCGCCATCTTTCCTGTGTTGAGCCTTCCACCACAGGACAAATCTGAATCTGATTGGCCTGGTGAGCTCCAGTACTCCACCCTGGTGAGCTTCGCTGGGACCTCACCCCACCCAACACCCCCAGTGTCAGAAGCACTTTCTCAACAGCAGCCAGCCCCGCCTGCATTACACTCTTTTTTAGAAAACTATTTGAGTCTAAGGGCCCCAGGCAGGTAGTGGCTGGCCTTGGTGTGCTCTGAGACTTACTGAGTAGCTCCAGGCTCAGCACTGGAACCAAACCGGAGTCTACATTAACCTGGTGACCACAACTCTTCCCACTCTAGTGACTCCTCCCTGAGGCCCTGCCTCACCCAAATCACCTACTGCAAAAAGGCTTTATCAGTAGCTAAACCTTAAGGGATCCGGCAGGTGGCAGCAGACCTTGGGGTGTCCTGGCTTTTTGCAGAACTACTCCAGGCCTGATATTGGTGGTAGCTATCCTCAGTTCGCAGCATGGCCTCCCCCACATGCCTCCAACTTTAGCACAGGAAGTGAACAACTGCAGATCACTTTCTAGATCCTAGTAGGTAGTCCCCAGCTGGTCACAGGCAGTGGGTGACATGGGCCTGCACTGGAGCCCCTCACAAGAGCCCCAGAAACAACATACTTGTAGGTTGTCTTCAGATCACAGCAGAGCACTGCCCAATTAGCCCTACAAGCAGTACACCCAAAGAGTGGTCTCAGGCACCAGAGCCCACTGGGGCAAATCCCACTCAATGGAGTAAGCCTCTTAGACAGAAGCCCATAAGCTGTGGATGTGGCCAAACCCTACAGCCAATCAGCCTGAAGGCCAATCCCACTCACTGATGTGCCAATAGAAATCAAGGCTCAACTATAACAGGAGGGCACACACAACCCACACAAGAGACACTCCTGAAGCACCCAAAGCAGGTGACCAGGGAGACCGTGCCAGGGCCCCACAGGACACCTACTACTACATAAGGTCACCAGCCAAGACTGGGAGCCATGGCAGATCTACCTGCTACACAGAAACAAACACAGAGAGGCAGCCAAGATGAGGAAACAAAGAAATATGCCCCAAATGAAAGAACAGGAAAAAACTCCAGAAAAAGAATCAAATGAAATGGAGGCAAGCAACCTACCAGAGATGGAGTTCAAAACAATGGTTATAAGGATGCTCAAGGAACTTAGAACTTCAACAAAGAGATAGAAAGCATTAAAAAGGACATAAAAACCATTAAAAAAAGGAACCAATCAGAAATGTAGAATACAATAACTGAAATGAAGAATGCACTAGAAGGAAATACCAGCAGACTAGATGAAACAGAGGAACAAATCAGTGATTTGGAAAACAAGGTAGTAGAAAACATCCAATTGGAATGGCAAAAAGAAAAAAGAATCCAAAAAAATGAAGCTAGTTTAAGAGACCTCTGGGACAGCATCAATCATAACAACATTCACATCATAGGGTACAAGAAGGGGAAGAGAGAAAGCAAGGGATTGAGAACCTATTTGAAGAAATAATGACTGAAAACTTTCCTAACCTGGTGAAGGAAATACACATACAAGTCCAGGAAGTGCAGAAAGTTCCAAACAAAATGAACCCAAGCAGGCCCACACCAAGACACATTATAATTAAAATGGCAAAGGTTAAATACAAAGAAAGAATTTGAAAAGCAGCAAGAGAAAGACAACTAGTGACTTATAAGGGAGCTCCCATAAGATTGTCAGCTGATTTATCAACAGAAACTTTGCAGGCCAGAAGGGATGGGTAGGAAATATTCAAAGTGATGAAAAGTAAGGACCTACAACCAAGACTACTCTACCCAGCAAGGCTATCATTTAAAATCGAAGGAGAGATAAAGAGCTTCCCAGATAAGAAAAAGCTAAAGGAGTTCATCACCACCAAACCAGTACTACAAGGAATGTTAGAGAGACTTCTTTAAAACGGAAAAAAGAGATCAAAATTATGAATAATAAAATGGCAATAGCTACATATCTACCAACAATTACTTTCAATATAAGTGGATTAAATGCTCCAATCAAAAGACATAGGAGAGATGAATGGATAAGAAAACAAAACCCTTACATATGCTGCCTATCAGAAACTCACCTCAGATCAAAACACACACACAGACAGAAAGAAAGTAAAAGGATAGAAAAAGTTATGTCACGAAAATGGAAATGAAAAAAATAAAATAAAATAAAAGCTGTAGTAGCAATACTTATATCAGACAAAACAGACTTTAAAACAAAGGCTACAACAAGAGACAAAGAAAGACCCAGTAATCCCGCTTCTGGGTATTTATCCGAAGAAACCCTAAATACTACTTCAAGGTGACATGTGTATATATCCATATGTTTGTTACAGCATTGTTTACAATGGCCAAGATGTGGAGGCAGCCTGGAGTTGATGGAAGAATGGATAAAGAGGAGGTGTTACATATATACAGTGGAATATTGCTTAGCCATGGAAGGGAATGTGTTCTTGCCATCTGCAGCAGCATGGATGGACCTGGAGGGTATTGTGCTGAATGGAGTATGTCAGACAGGGAAAGACAGATGCAACGTGATTTCACTTATATGTGGAATCTAAAGAACAAAATAAACAAACAAAAAAACCAAAACAAACTCATAGATACAGAAAACATTTTGATAGTTCCCAGATGGAAGAGGGGTTGGGGGTGTGGGTGAAAAAAGGGGAAGTAATTAAGTACAAATTGGTTGTTAACAAAGTCATTATGGGGATGTAGGGTATAGCATAAGGAGTATAGTCAATAATATTGTAATAACTATGTACAGTGCCAGATGGGTACCAGATTTATCGGGACGATAGATGGGAAGGGGTTGGAGGGCAGAGTGATAAAGATGAAGGGATTAAGCAGTACAAATTGGTAGTTACAAAATAGTCATGCGGATGTAAAGTAAAGCATAGGGAATATAGTCAATAATATGGTAATAACTATGTATAGTGCCAGGTGGCTACTAGACTAGTCAGGGGAATCATTTCTTAAATTAGGCAAATGTCTAACCATTATGCTGTGCATCTGAAATAAATATAAAATAATATTGAATGTCAGCTATAATTGAAAAATTTAAAAAGGGGGGAAAAGGTGAAGGGGAATAAGAGGTCCAAATTTCCAGGTATAAAACAAACAAGTTATGGAAGTGTAATATACAGCATAGGGAATATAGTCAATAATATTGTGATAGCATTGTACAGTGTCAGATGGTTGCTGGACTTATATCACTTATTATTTAGGCATATAAATGTTGAATAATTATTGTGTACCCCTGAAACTAATATAATATTGTATGTTAGCTATATTTTAATAAAAATATTTTTTAAAAAAGAAAATATAATAAATTGTACCTGTTGCCGATAGAGCTGGGAACATGTATCTTCAGATTTTCTGTGACATCTCTCATTACCCTTTGATAACCAGACATTCCTGAGTCTTTGATATAATAAGGATTGTTTCTCATTAAGAATTCCCCCAAACGATTAATAGGATTGAACTTGGTTGGAATATCAACTTCTTCCAAAAGCTTCTTTTTTTCCACTTGCATTACAATTTTTTCCATGCCAGGAACTAAGGTGGGTAGAACTTTGTCAAGCAAATATACACGAGTATTCAGTGTCATGTTTTCAGTATTAAGCCAGTGTTGGGGCAAATGATCCTCAGGGAGCTTTTTCTCAGTCTTTTTTTCTAGTTTCTTCTTCATATTATCTTCATCTATTATTTTCTGCTGCATTGCCTGAGCTCTTGCCTCTACTCTTTCAAAAAGATTTGTTTTCCATGGTTGTTCTAGCTTTGAATCCAGTACAGTTTGATCTAAATTGAAAACCATTTTCACAGGTTTTCTAAGCACAATATTCTTTGAGAGTTCAATGTCAGAGTTCTTTGTTGAACCAGTTGATATTTTTGGCTGCCCCTCCAGGTTTAATTCTAAGGGGAGGAAGGTGAAATGTAAGAAATATTAGAAGTAGATTTTAATCTATGTTACTTTTCATATTATTAGAAAAAAAGTTATTTTATATCCCTTTATATGGTGTATTCAAACACAGCAGAAAGTAACAGAAAATCAGACAACAGTGACTTTAACCATAGGACATTTATTGTTGACATAATCAGAAGTCATTCAGCAGCTCAGTGTTTTTCATTAAGTACCTAGCCTGTTTTGTTATTCTTTATTCATTTTTTTTGTGCTTGTACCTCAGGATCACAAGATAGCTATTGCAGTTCCAGGCATCTCTTATTTACAGGAAAAAAGGATTGAGAACAAAGGGGGTTTCCACTCTTGAGGATCTGTTTTATTATCCGAGAAGATCCCAGATTCCCTGCTCCAAGACTTTCCTTTACATTTCATTGAACCCTAATTAGGTTACATGTCCACCCCTAGCTGGTAAAGGGAAAAGGGATTACTATGAATAGTTTTGACCAATTGTGATATGTCCCTTTATGTCAGGGTTTAGATCAAGTTCTCTGATTTTCATCAGATTCAAGTGATTTTCATCTTCTATAAAATTGAAGATCAGTTGGCAGGCAAAAAGGTAGATAAACATCTGCTGAGTGGGCAGTGAAGAGAGTCTACCACACACATATATTTAAATACATTTTTTTCCCATGCTTATATTTCCAGCCTCTTTCATGTTTTCATTTTTAAAATGTAGCATGGAGCTATTAGACAAAAGTAGTGGACTGAGAACAGGCACCTACATCCCCTCCCTACCAAAATCTTTAGAAATGACAGAAAAAGTGTGTGTATATTTTCGTGTAAACATGAGAATGCTGACAATCATGAAGGGGGCTTTCAGGAACCAGAAATTTTGAATCTCTGAAAAATGTAAGGGAGGTGGGATTAGGTTAATTGACGAAAATATAGGACTAAAAATATGCAGGAGAATAAAGATGCTGTGAAATTTGGGAGCAACTTAGAGGCACCCCAAGTTCAAAGGCTGTAGATATGGGTAATGGGAATGAATTGCTTTTTGTATATCTTTATTGTCTTTTGAGCTACTCACCAGGCACCAAAGGCATTCGCGCCTGCACTGGGGCAAAGGGGTTTGAGATCCAGACAGGATAATGCCTCTATACACAGAGAAAATGGATTGCTCACAGACACCACTGTCTGCACGTCTTACCCCTCATTCACAATCACTGGCAGCAGGCTACAGAAAACAAACTTCATCCACAAAAAAGCAAACGGGGACTCCCAAATGCAAATGTTAGCACACACATAAGAATCACTAAATATTTAAAGAAACCATCTCTGTGACTAAATTCAACAAATGCAATAATTAATACTACCCAAGGAAATACCATTAAAAGAATAAATGTAAGGAGTCTCTAAAAGAATGTTATAGAGAGAAAGAGAGAGAGAGAGAGAGAGAGAGAGAGAGAGAGAGAGAGAGAGAGAGAGAGAGCGAGCACTTGAACACCTAGTGATCAGATCTTGGTTGCTAATATCATTCTCCAATTAAAAAAAAAATCAGGACTCATGGGAGAAATGGCTGATGTAAGGAATATGTGTGTGTGCGTGTGTGTGCGTGTGTGTGTGTGTGTCTGTGTTTGTGTGTGTATACATACATAAATATATGATGAGTCTAAAGCATCTTAGAGTGCCAGAACGTAAGGACGTGTACAAAAAAAAAACCAAGAAAAAAAAAAAAACTCTGATGATTTGTAGTATGTCAAAGGGACGCAGCAGCCAACTGAAAGAGCTGATGGCCAAAGATGAAATAATTGGAGCAATGAAATAAAGTAATATTGGATTATAACTCAAGTATACAATAAATATCCATTAGTCCATACTGATATAAATACTTGAATAAAGAAATAAACAGGGGGAAATAGACAAATGTCCTGTGCAGAAGTACTCCAAATAATTTAGTAGATATTCTGCCCTGAAGGAGGTAGAGCATAATTCTCTTCTCTTTAAGTGTGGGCTGTGCATAGTGACTTCTTCCCGAAAGTGCTGTATGGAAACAGGATGAGAAGAATAACTTTACAGTGGAAAACCTGACGAAAACCATCTCAGTCAGATGAAAAAGGTTAACATCAACAGTAAAAAGTCATGTTGACAGCATATACGATATGCTTGATAGGATGTGATGAAAATAGCATTTTACCTCTGTATAGTTTCCTCCTCCAAACCCATAATCCCAGTCTAATCATGATTCTAAAAAACCAACCAACCAAACAAAAAACCTTCAGGCAAAATCCCAACTAGGGAAATTCTACAAAAATACCTGAAAGTACTCCTTAACACATTTTTTATTTCTCTGGAGCATGTGACACTGTTGACCACTTCCTCTCCAGTGATATGTTCTTTTTGTCTGTCTGTCTGTTTGTTTGCCCAAATCTCTTCCGGGAGCCACCCTTCTTTTATTCTTCATCCATTTGGTTTAGATGGGGCTGACCTAACCCATTTAGATCCAGGGGTGGGTGGTGATCCAAATCTGACCACCTTCACGGTCATTCAAAATAAGGTAATCTGAGAAACTGTCTGAACAAAGAAAAGTCTAACTAAGTAATTTATAAAGACACCCTTGAAAAGCCAACATTTAATCTAAAGAATGTCCTAAATCCAATAGTAGATAGTATTTATGAACCTCCCTCCTAAATTTTTATTTCCTCCTTGGCTAATTCTTTTATTCCAATAAGGGGAAGTTGGGGAGGGTAGTATAATGCTCTCCTTAACCTCTCAGCTGGGTTTGGAAACAAATTAACCACTATTTTTGTGCGCTGTGGGGTGTTTTATTCTGTTTCGTCACACTACTTGTTAATATACATTGCTTTTATTTTTATTTAAGTAAGTGTGAAAGAGAACAATTCTTGAAGTCTGCAGGTTCTAATGTACTCTCTTTGCTTCTAACCTTTCCAGCATAACTCAGATATTCCACCTCCTACTTTAAGGGCGGTGCTACAGATATATAGTAAATTAATATCTACCCACCTTCCATGGCTCATTAGTAAACTCGCACATGAACTAGGGCATTCTCTATCTTTACTGCAGCCTGTTCGTGCTCCTCTAGTGTGCTTGGCTATCACAGGTTGCTAAGCAATAATCCTAGTGCTTACACTGCCCCACTAATATGCAGAATGGAAGTATTATACTTGTGTGTTTGGTTACAACTTTGTCAAACACTTTTCTCGTAGGGCCATAAAAACAAGAAAAGAAAAGGAGTCACAGCAATAGCAGGGTTAATAAATCAGGATTTATTGAACAAGCCTATCTGCAGCTGTCTTTTGATTGAGTGACCTCTAAATTCAAGGACCATAAATTACAGCATTGCCTCAAGGGCAAATTAATTCAGAGATTTAGTGGAATATAGTTTCAAACAGGTACTGGGTTTTTCAGTAGGTCAGCATTTGGACATTCCTAAACCTTTTACAGATAGATTCATTTACACGTTCACTCAGTTAATAATTAGTGATGTCTTGCTTTGTGCCCAGCACTATGCTAAACACTGAATTCGTTTTCAGGATTGTCTTCCTAAACTCTGTAAAATTAAAAGCCTTTCAACATACATTCCTTCACTCCTGTATTAATTCTTCTTCTAACATACAAAGACCTGTTGAGGCACTCCGGGCATAAATGCTTTCAACTAAATAAGTAGGAACCCAAAAGAATTCCTTATTCATATTTTGAAAGGTTCAGCTTTATAAGTGACTTTTATAATTTTCTGCATGTAATGCGTGGCTCACTGCTGGACACAACCTCAGTACAACCCTATTTAAGGAAATAAATGGAAATGAATTACAATTCACATTATAATAAGCCTTAGTAGACTCTTTCTTCACAAGGAGACATATAACATTTGTGAGACTGGCTCCTGATTAAAGTGGTGAAAATTGGCCCAGCAAGGCTATTCAACTAGATGTGTGATGTTCTCTTTAAACACAGGCCCTGTCTGAAACCCAGCTGGCTTGGTCCTATCAGGATTTCTTATGATTTCTACATTCTGTGGAATGACTGCTGGAAAAGCAGAGGAAAAGAAGCACTACTAAACACTGCTAGAACTAAAATTCAATAGCTATAGAAAAAGGTATTTTCCTGCAAAACTTTGTTAATCTTAGGGCTGTGTAATGCAACAGAGTTGAGCAAATTTATAGTTAAAAAAAAAAAAGATTTCTCAAAATACAAGTTAAGCTTATAGCCTGGAAAGTAAAATAATTAAAGAGATAAGGAATTCACAGGGAACATTTAACCACAGTATTTTCTATGTAAAGATATGTGTTTGAGTGCATTCTGGGAGCTGCCTGGCAAGATACCATCATTTTGACATGTATATATCAAGAATTAAAACACTTCATTTGAGGGCCGGCCGAGTGGCTCAGTTGGTTAAGAGCTTGATCAAGAGTGCAAGCTCTGGGCCGTCCGAGTGGCTCAGTTGGTTAAGAGCTCGCTCAAGAGTGCGAGATCTTAGCAACAGCGGTTCGAGTCCAGCCCGAGCTGAGCTGACAACAGGTGGCAGGATGGCTCAGCTAAAACAAAACAAACAAACAAAAAAACACTTCATTTGACATGTTGAAGTTGTAGCAACAGCTCCTCTTCCTGCTTCTTACACACACACACACACACTCACAAAGGAGATTCAGGATATTAGGTTTAATTGTCACTGATCACCGAATATATAGTACATTGCATTGCATTTAATATTGCAACAAGCAACTGCAATGTTTTCAGTATATATCATATTCTGGGATGAATAGACTTACACAAACAAAACATACTTCCCTCTGCCATACATGGTAAAGCAATAACAGAAATTTAAAGTACAAGAAGAAGAAAGACCAAAAACTCTTGATTGATGTTTTCTAGAGAGGCAATAAATTACATGAGCGAATACATGTGTGAAGTTTTGCAGATGCAAATTTGGCCATAACCGATTTCATGAATACCTAAATAGATTTATAATAAATTACCTAGATCACAATTCTGTTTGGCATGTTTAAAATTAAAGAGTTCATTTATAAACCTGGCCCAAGAGATTAAGGTAACAGCAAAATACATGTCTCGGGTAGTGGTGGTAGGGGGTGGGGGTGAGGAGGAAGTAAAATCCAGAAACTGGTCTGTGTAGGGAGGGCGGGGGAGACAGGTGGAGAGGGACTTGGCAAAAAGCTTTTTAAAAGTTAGTGAAGCTGTGTGAAAATCGTACTAAGTTTACAATAAAGACAGAATAAGTGTTGGAAAGTTTAGTTCTTAATGTGTATGTATTGAAATGTGTGTTAATAAGAAATAGGAAATCATTGCTTTTAATTGGCTTAAAAGACAAAAATAAATAATAAATAATAACCACTGAGAAAGGCAAGCACCTAAAAGTTATTTTAGCATCTATATAGCAATTTATAGTGCAGAAGGCGCTTTAATAATTATTATTGTAATCAGCCTAGTACAGTCTATCACATACTAAACACTCAATACTTATAAATGGGATTGAAGGGAATAATCGAAGTATAAATTAAAATTGTTAAATTTTAAAAACTGTAAAGAATTTCTGTCGTATAGGGTTTCACTAAGTATCTGAAGTTAGAAGAACTGTAGTAAAAGGGATGAATGTCTTGCTCACTTATTTGTTGCCTACCTGACCCTATAAAATTTCAATCTGCATAATTATGTGGGATCTCATTTAAGGATGGGACTAGAAGTCAAACAGAACAAATGTGTGGTCAAGTACAGGGATAAAAAGGAGAAACAGAAAAACAATAAGCAGGTTCAATTACTAGGGCTCCTCATTTTATGTTTGTATTATAGGTTTTCAGGTATGTGTCAATCAGCAATCTTAGCTAATTTTCTCTTTAAGTACAAGATGAATAGTCATAAAGTTGCCCCAACGTATTAGTAGAAGGTGAAGGAAATACATTTTAAACTACAATATTTCCCAATCTGCATTGAAAATACCCCTAGGATTATTATATCCTTAAAGGGCAAAATCATGAACAATGTATCCTTAATGAAAACTTAATAGCTTTCAATTCTATTGTATAAAGAAAAAGCTAGTTTTCTACCTTCAGGTTTGATTTCAGTTGTTGCTTCTTTTGCCACATTGTTGCTGGTGTCTAATTCAGCACTGTCTGGTGGATTCTGAAAAGAAAAAAGAAACATTAGTTGTGTTTTCTCAAAATTGCACCAACAATTCCCAATTAAAGAAGGCAGATAAATGCCTTGTAGGAGTTACCAAACATTCCTCCTTAATTTTGCTAGGATTTAGTGCTGAATATTAGAAGCAGAGCAGTAATCACAGTCTATTTACTGCACTCACAAGATGAAATGCATTGGCTCAACATGTTAGTGCATCTTCCTATCGCCAACAAAGCAATATGCTAAGAATATTATCTTAGATGTACACTATTCCTTGAATTATACAATACTTTCTAGAAACATAATTTGAGACCACAGCATAGTGAAATCAGACTTTTGAAAATGCTACTTTCTTTTACTATTAGAATCACCTATATTTGTGGTGGAAAGAAAAACATTTACATTTTAATTGAGGAAATTAAAGGTTAGTCTTATGAATAAACAGTGGCAAATAGCTTTTGTATTCATGCTTAAGTACTTTTTAAAAGAATAGGAATATTTTTAAGACTCACATTAGTCAAGTTAATGGTGAACCCATATAACTATTTTCAATTGTCTCCCCTTTTCTAGAAAATGCTCTTTCTCATATGTCTTGTATTAATAAACACAAAATTACTTAAATGATTAACAAAGAAGTTACATTTTCAGAATGATAATGAAGTTACCCTGAAAACTGATGGTTATCGGACTTAGGGTAATAGTTCTGATTTTAGAAAGCAACCTTTAATTTATCTGTAATTCATAATAACTCTTAACAAATTATGGAAGCTTCCTGCAACAGGATTAAATGAGTCAGCTTAATGATCAACATGAGTTTGCCCTTTTCCATTTGACACTTTATCTGTTTGAATACCCACGTCTTTTCTTTTCCTTCTTTCATACGAAAATTAATTTTGTGTCCTGTTTACTCTCCAGCATTAACATCTGGTTATTCATGAATACTCTACCTCAATAGGCTCTTTCACTTCGGTTGCTTCCTGTTCCTTTTCTTTGTGTTCGGTTCCATTTTTCTAAGTAGAAAATGACAGCGTTATCAAGTGGTATCCAATGGGAACTGGAGCTAAAACTAACATCTTATACTCCAGTATAGCAAGCTTTTTAGGTAAAAAAAAAAAAAAAATTCACATAATGAGTAAACATCACAGCAAATAAAATCACACCAAGTGGTTGTATTAACAAATTCAAACACAGTTGGTTAAGAGCTCGCTCACGAGTTTGAGCTCTGAGCAACAGCAGTTCGAGCCCTGGCCAGAGCTGAGCAGCCGCTGAGCTGCCAACAGGCGGCAGGATGGCTCAGCTTAAAAAACAAAACAAAACAAAAAAACAACAAATTCAAACAGTAACAGGCTTGTTAAATATAAGGAATGCCAACCAATTAGAACCAACTAGAAGCAGGCCACTGCTTCTTAGCTGACCCCCCCCCTTCAGCATTTTTGACAAAATGCTGATGCAGAATACTTCAACTAAAAAGAGAAATAATTAAGTAATAGAATATGATATTGCCTCTCAATTTTCCTAAGAATATTGAATCTCAAATCCTCTCAGGGTCAAACGGTTAAGGAACATATTTAGGCCAGATACCTGAGCAGGTTTGGGTTCCTCTTCAGGTGCTGACTCACTCATCTAGACCACTAAAAGATATCACCAAATGGCAGGGGAAAATATTACCAGGCCATTATTAATAACAAAAAGAAAGAAAATAGTAATAAACAATAATAATCTGAAAGATCAAAATCTCCCCCACCTCCACCACATCCCACCATTCTATGGAATGACAATAAGTTCTCAACTGCTAAAATTTTCAAACTGTACTACTGTTATTACTGACCAAAGCTAGATTAGTGCTAGGCTAGTGCTCAGGGAGGCAGGAAGAGAGGGAAAAAAGAATTATAAAACAGCCAGAAAACAATAAAGATGACATTAGTAGTAAGTCCTTACCTATCAATAATTACTCTAAATGTAAATGGATTAAATTTTCTATCAAAATACATATAGTGGATGGATAGATTAAAAAAAACCCACAAGACTCAACTATTAATATATGCTGCCTACAAGAGATTCACATCAGCTTTAAGGGTACATATAGGCTCAAAGTGAAAGGATGGAAAAATATATCCCATGAAAGTGGAAATCAAAAGAGCACAAAGGTAGCTATACCTGTATCAGACAAAATAGACTTTATGCCAAAAACTGTAACAAGAGACAAAGTCATTATATAATGATAAATGGGTCAATTCATCAAGAATTATGGGTTACAGAATTACAATATTAATTGAATTCACAGTCCAGTCATGTGAAAATTGGGGCACTGATTAGGAAGAAGGGGGATCCTGAAATTTGGGATGGGGACATTTAGTTGGAATATGAAACTGATAATCTCAAACTCCTGAGTCACTCTGAGCCTCTTTTGCCAATGGAAGCAGTTTGTCCTCCTGTATTTGTGGAGACTAGCCTTCTCTTAATTGCAAATCTTATAATAATCTCATCTGGGGCAATTGCCTTGCAAGGGGATGCCCATTTTCCTCAAGACTCACCACAACCACTTCTTACTTCTAGTAGAATCATAATTAAAAGCAGCTCTTAAAATGCTCCAGCAGGGAAAATACAAAGTCTGACCACTTTTACAGCAAAAGATTTTCACTATTTGCTTATATAGTGGCAGAAACCCAAGGAATATTTGATCATTTGTTATAATACCCAGCAAAGTATATTATAAGGGAGTTAAAGCAAAGAGCACAGAATATAACATGTGGTTGGTTAGAATTTCTTGATATGGGTACACTTATCAGAAATTAAGGATTTAATGTGTTAGTATTTCCAACTGGAAGTGGCACTATTTACTTGGTGAGTTTACTGAAACTTAGACTCTACAGTGGCCTATGTTTAACTGAGATACCAGAACTTCCCTGGCATGATATAATAAGAAACCCAAAGGCTTAGGGAGATAGTAATGTTGGAGTAGATTTATCATATATGACCTGCACTTCTACTGCCCCCAAGTACATCCTCTTAGAGGGCTCTGGGGACATCCCTTTACTAAGGCATTAAAAAAATACATGAGACAGTATATAGTTATTTCCTTGAAAAGCTCTATGGTCGCTTTCTTCTGTAGGCTAGGTAAGATGTGATGACCCATTTCAAAGTAGCAGAGGCCAAATGTCACAAAGAGAAGTAGAGATATAGTGGTAATCAGATGCTTTGACCCTTAGTGATCTTTGTGGTTAAGTAATTATGGTGGCCCTAGGAATAAAATTGATGGCTAGCCTACTAAAATGTTGATCATCTACACATAATATTAAAAATCCATACATGGTGGTCAAAAATATGACTTTAGTCACCACAGTGGAGAGTTTCGATTTCTCACTGAGTTTCCAGCCCCTTTATTAAAAGGAAGGCTAGAGTCCTTTAAGGAAGGACTGCAGCTCTGCCATTAATATTCCTCTAAGTCTCCTCCACAGAAACCTGCGGTCATTTCCTAAAATGACTGTGTGCTAAGGAGAAAGAAATACCCAAGTTATTCAAGGATTTCTAAACATTGGCAATAAATTGATGTTAATTCCTGGGGACTCAAAATGCAACTGCTGTCTACCAGTTTAAGTGGGGTCTTGAGGTGAACAAGTGAGAGATGGAGTCTTAAGTTTAAATCACAGCGAGCTAAGTAGGTCCATAGAATCACTCCATGGTAATTTCATCAGTTCCTGGATGTATAATTAGAATATATACCTAGTAACTGGCAGAACTTACATATTGTCCCCCTATCCTGGAATAAGCACCATTATAGTATGAAGGGACAAGTTGAAGCCCTTAGGAATCCCCCTCCCCCCATACACACATCTCAGGAGACTAAACAAAAATTATTACTTTCTTCGGATGCAGAATGGGGAATTACAGAGATTAGTGACACCAATACAGATTTGAAAGAAGCAGAAATGATAAAACCTATCTCCTGCCAGTTTAACTTCTCTGTTGGAGAAGGTGGACGGATCTTAGAGGATGACTGTGGATTATCACAAATTTAATCAGGTGCTGCCTCCAATTACAGCTGCTCTTCCATATGTAGTATCTTTACTGGAGAAAATCAACATACCCCCTGCCACCTATTATGCAACTATTGACTTAAGGAATGCTTATTTCTCCATACAAATTGGCAGGGAACACCAGAAGTAATTTGCCTTTACTTGGCAGGGCCAACAATATAACTTCACAGTCTTGCCCCAGGGCTACATCAATTCTCCTGCTCTCTGCCATAATATAGTGCACAGAGATATTGAGCATCTTGACCTTCCAAACAGCATTGAGTTGGTCAAGTACATTGATGACATTATGCTGATTGGATCTGGGGAGCAGGAAGTAGCAAGTGGGGAAAAAGTAAGCACTATCAGAGTCAAATATAATTTATACTTGTAAATTTTGAATTGTGAAATTGCTTTAACTTTATCACCTAATTGTATAAAATAAGTTATCAATAATGACTACCAAGTGGTCACTGTTAAGCTGTCTTGTTCAGGAATTATATAGTCATTTCAATCATAAAATCCCACATAAAAAAAGTTATGTTTATAAGAAGCAATCTCAGGTTTTTCATTAAATTTTGAGAAGAATTTGGAAGCTTATATAAATTCAATATTTATCATCCTTAATACATTTACCTTATTTTCTCATAGTATAGAAAGAAAACAATTTTTTTTCACCAAGCCCCATATAGTTGCCTCTAAATCCTCTTTATTCCAGTATGTTGTACAAATATCATCATTTCTATGGATGTCATGATATGAAAAAAAAGTTGAAAAGCACTGCTTTAAACTTTAGATCAGATTCTTAGCCTGGGGCCCCTCGATAGATTTCAGTGTGTGCGTGAAATATACAAGTGTATCTTTCTGGAGAGATGGTTAATAGTTTTCATCAGATTCTCAAGGCTTAAGAGCCAGCTGATCCCAGGAATTTCAAAAGTTCCCCTATAATTTCATCCCCGAAGAAGTGATGATTCAAGTTAAGGGTTAAATGAACTCCAAGGGCACAAACAGGCTTCCATTATCACAGGCAGGAAGAGTAAAGGTGCTGTAAATGAAACTAGGAGGACTGTTATCTCTTTGGCTCACTCTTTTGGGAATCCTGCTCTCTCCTCTCAAATTCAACTAGCATAGTAAGAAGATTCTAGGATTTTCTCTCTATTTGAAGTAGATGCCTCCTCCCTCAAGTCACCAGAAGACCCAGTAGGAACCAGGGTAGAGCAGGGGTAAATGGGGCAGACAGCATGGATTTCAAATGCTCACATGTGATCTAGCTCAGCTCACAAAGCAGCTATATTGGGATCTGCAGTCAAAGCTTGAAAGCCAGTATCATAAAGAGTACATTTCCCAGACCTTCTCCTCTGTGTTTCTCAAACACTTTGTACATATCTAGACTTCTATACATGTATCTCCCTTGGAGGCTAACAGAGGTGACTGAAACCACAGTACCACTAAATCTTACTGCAATAATTTGATGTGGTTTTCCCTGCTGATGAGCTGTAAGCCCTAAGAGGTAAATAGACTTTGTTCTTAAAACAGTGTCTAGGGGGCCGGCCGAGTGGTGCGATGGTTAAGAACTCGCTTGGGATGCCAGAGGGCCCTGGTTCGGATCCCACATATGAGGGCCAGTGACACTGCCCTCCACAGCTAAGATGCTGAACAACAGCTCAACCTGGAGCTGGGCTGCCTATGAGTCGCCGGCAACGGCGTAGGCTGCAGTCCCTGTGGCAGTGGGTTGCCATGGGCTACCGTGTGTAGCCAGCAGCCAGCGTGAGCGGCCAGCAGCCGCAGTGAGCGGCCGTCCAGAAGCCGGCGACTGATCTGCCTCGCCAGAGAAGAGCGCAATGATGGTGCCAACTTGGGCCAGTGAAGCAACATCCTCCACAACTAGACTGAAGAACAAAATGACAGCAACTTGTCTGTTCCCCTTTCCCCAATTCCCCAATAAAAATCTTTAAAAACAAAACCCAAAAAAACAAAAACAAACAAACAAAAAAGTGTCTAGTATATAATACACACTCAATATTTTCTCAATTAATGGTGAATAAATTCATGAACGTGCACCAGCAATTTCTAAATCTTAGTTTCCTTAAAAGGTTACTTACCAGGAAATTTGCCCTGTAAATTAATGAATTAACTTTCTGATACAAACTTAATGTGAATGTGGGTACCTTATAATCCCAATTTTGACCAGGATTTTATCACCTCAGATATGCTAAATAAAAGTGTTCTATACCTACCTACACATGAGACATGTCTTGACCACTATTTCAACTATTAAGAAAAGGCATGAATCAGGCCGGCCGAATGGCTCAGCTGGTTAACAGCACAAGCTCTGAGCAACAGGGTCACTGGTTCAATTTCCACATGGGTCAGTGAGCTGCACCTGAGCTGAGTTACCGCTGAGCTGCCAACAGGTGGCAGGATGGCTCAGCTGGTGAGAGCATGTGCTTCTAACAACTAGGTTGCCAGTTTGACTCCCGCTTGGGATGGTGCAACTAAGATTGAGCACGGCACCTTGAGCTGAGCTGCCCTGAGCTGCCCATGGGCCGCCGGATGGCGACTGGACTTGGAACTGAGCTAGCTGTGCCCTCCATAACTAAGACTGAAGGACAACAATTTGGCTGTTCCCCTTCCCCAATTTCCCAATAAAATCTTAAAAAAAGAAAAGAAAAGGCATGAATCATGTCTTTTTCATTCTTTTTATTCCCTTTTTCTTGAAGCTATTTTCTACACATAGGGTACACTAAGCAAAAGCTGACTGAACTTGGGACAAACTTTAGAGAATAATAATTTCAATTACAAGTTTACAGTTTTTTTAAAATTAAAGTTTATTGGGGTGAGAATTGTTAACAAAGTTACATAGATTTAAGGTGTACAATTCTGTAATACATCATCTATATATTACGTTGTGTGTTTACCACCCAGAGTCAGTTCTCTTTCCATCACCATATATTTGATCCCCTTTACCCTCATCTACTACCCCCTCCCCCCTGGCTTTACAGTTTATACTGCACTTTACCATATATTGTCTCATATGACCACAAGTATCCTGTGAGTTAGAGCTCTACTGTAGAAATGAAGAAACTAAAGTTCAAAAAGTTTAAGCCATTTGCTTAAGGTTTTACAGAGCTGGAATTAGAAGCCAGGTCGTGTGACTCCTATAGTAGTGCTCTTTCCCACTGTAAGATTAATGGAATTAAGCCTCTCATCTTCCAAAAGAATTTAAGATTATATTGCTACACACAAGTAGGTAATGTGTTGCTGTCCCTAGTCAGTAAGAAAATCAACATATAAGTACATTACTAAGACCTATTGATTTTAATACTTTTTCTAGAATGATAGACTCTGGTTTATAAATCACGTTTCGCCTATTTGAGTTCATTCAGCTTCCAGCTATGTATATTTCTTGGCTATGCATATAGTTTCCTGTTTGGTCTCCTAAGCGTTGGTTCAAAGTTCTTCTGAATTTTGTCTGCTCTTTTCCTGTTGACTATTTTGGCTCTGGGGAAAACAGTCAAGATCGTTTAATCTGTGAATCATACATCTTTAATTTTGTCTCGCAGGCACTCTTGACCACCACCAGGGGGCAAAAGCCTACCAGCTGGCTTCTCCGTAACACGTTTCTACATCAGGCTACTACAGTACAGGGACCCTCAGTGTCTGATTCTTGATGGAACCTCCCTGCTAATTATTTCAACCACAGGGCCCCAGGGAGAGAACAAAGGCTCAGCACAGAAGGCTCTAGTGGCACTTAACCATACAGAAGCCAGAAAGAGCTCATGACAACCCTGTCAGTTTAAAAGGAGCAATGGGATCCAAGAGAGTTTGAGTGACAAACAGGAGGAGGTGGGCTTTAATAACTGCAAACTCCTGAATGTGTGTTTTCTACAGCTGTGATCGGTATGCTGGTATTCACAGCGCATCCGTTCAAACTGAGAAATAGCTTTGGCAGTTAGTTCTCTTTCTCTCTGTAAATAATCAATGGTATTTACATAGTGCGATCTTTCCCCCTTTTTAATCTTGATGTTTCATTACCTTCTTGGCTTACGTTCTGCTGACGGTTTCTTCTTAAAAAGTATTCCTTTGAAATATCTCATCTACATTTCACGCATGTCTATGAAATAATGAAATCTACAGGACAGGGAGAAGAAACCTCAAGAAGCAAATCTCGTTTTAAGAGAATTTCTTCTCAGCAGGAAGCAAGTGGGAGGTAAATAGCAGGTTGGACTCTTAGAGCTGTGTGAGCCCGGCTTTCTTGGCCTCCCAGGCTCACGCAGCCTCTCTTCATCTCAGGAATAATGAATGAATCCTCAGACAAGGGGCCAGGGGAATAGAGAAAGCATGAGGCTACCATGAAGCTTCTCAAGGTATAAAATTAAAACTCTTTCTTTCAAAAAGTCTCGTCGTAAAACATGGACTCTGAGACCGAAAGGTGGGAGAGCTCAGAAAAACCCCGAGAGCCGGGTCAAAGGGGGATCCACTGGTCGAGCCAGGAGGGTTTCTAGCCTAGTGAGTTCTACCCACGCTCCGGAGAAAGCGTTTGAACCCCTCACGGAGCCCTTTCCCACCAGAAAACGTCTTTGAGTCAGGTTTACACTCAGTTTCTTTTCACTAAGGTTGGTTCAGCTGTGCGCTCCATCTCGTAAAAAATGGTTGTCTCCGAGGAGTGGGGACTCCCGCGGCCCCAGCCCAGGGGCCCCTCGCCCCACCCCACCCCACAGGCGGCTGCCGGCAAACGGCGCGATTCCAGCGCCAAGTAGGAAACCCCGGAGGGGGCGGCGGCCAGAGACGCACACTCGCGGCCGGCTTCCGGCAACTCACGGGTTACCGCGAGGCGGCGGCGCGCGCCGAGGGGAGAGGCGGTTGCTGACAGGTGGCGCCTGCGCACTGGGAGCGCTCATTGTGCCCCGCAGCTGCTGAACCGCCCGCCAGCCACCCGTTCGGCGCGTCAGTCTGCGAGAGTCCGGTGGTGGGTGCGGAGCCTGCGGCCGTTCCCGCGGCCTCCTCCTCCTCCTGGTTCCCCTCACCCCTACCCCACACTCCTTTCCCCATTCCGGCTCCGTCACCCTCCCGTCCCCCACACTCAGGACAAGAATGCCCTGCCCGGAACAACCCAGCAGCGCCTAGATGGCTTTGGTCACGGTCCAGCGGTCGCCTACCCCCAGCACCACCTCCAGCCCCTGTGCCTCGGTGAGTCCCTCCCAGCGGCCGCTCCGCTCGCTTCTGTCACTGCGGCTCCGCTTTGCCTCAGCGGGTCCCGCCGAATGCCACTGCGCACGCGCCGCGCTGCTTCCCAGGCCTTGGCACTCGGCTGCCGCGAACCCCCCACACCCCCCATCTTAAAGACGAGCTGCAGGAACTACAGGACGTGGGTTTTTGCCCCCATCACGCTGGGCACCTAGCTCACAGTCCTCGCCCGAGCCCCCTTCTGGCATGCCTTCCTACGGCTTGAGCACTTCCTTTTGGGAATGAGTCATTCTGGCTTTTCACCCTCCCCCTCCCTTTACCCTCAGTTGCTCTGCTGCAGGGAGAGGACCATGGGACTCCTGCGTTGCCCCTTACTCCCACCCAGGTCCCCTTCCCCACACCTATTTCATGGACCGGTTCAATATTCGCACACTGCACGCCCTTCTTCAGGCTCTCCAGGGTGTGTGCCTTCCCCTTAGTCACTTGCTGTCTTTTCTTGTGCTCTGTGCTGTTCGGGCTTCATTGGACTGCTGAACGGTAGTTACTCCTTGGTTTCTTCCCTCCTCCCCTCCCCCCAGGGGTGCCTGTGCTCTCTGCTTCTTGGACCTCTTACCTTTGCTCTACGAGGTCCCGAAGCATCTGGCGCTGCTTGATGACCAGTGCCAAGCCATTTACATCTTACAGACATTTATGCCTTACATTCATTGATCATGATCGTTCTTGTTCCTGGGTGGTGTTTGTATGGCTCGTTGGTTCAGATGCCTGTGCCAATGAAGCCTGCTTCCAGCGGGAAAATACCCAGTAACCAGCCTTTTCCTGCAGGGCCCTTCTTTGCCTTCGCTCCTCGCCCCACCCCCACGCCTTTACACTCTATTCTTTTAGGCTTTAATTTTGAAAATATTTATTTTTCAAAATAAAATATTGCACCAGCGGGGCGAAATGGGATCTTTAAAAAAAAAATCTGGTGCTTTTAGGGAGAAATAAACCGCATGAAAATATGAGCAATTGGAAAAACCACCTTTAACTTCCTACAGAACTGTAATTTTAAAAACTGTGTTGGTGGATTTAGTAGTTTCAAGTTGCAAAAAGGTATTCAATAAACACTGTACCGCCTTCCACTGTAAAAAATCGGGTTGCTCTTAATATTTATGTTAACTGAGGTGTGAGCTTTGCTATCTTGAAAATATGCTTGCTTATAATTTCAACAGTTTCCTGAACTGAAAAATCTTGTTGTGTATAGTGGTGGATTTTGTTTTGGGTTTTTGGGTTTTTTTTGAGCTTTCTTTTGCATTTTGACACAAATGACAAATATATCCGAATTCTAGAAGTGATTGTATTCCAGAGGTTAACTTACCTTGTGTTGTTCCAGATGGGAAGACTAGGATCCTTGGGTAGAAAGAAATTCAGGGAGGCAGATTTCCAATGATTGTAAGGAAGAATTTTGTAACAATGGAGTGGATTGCCTTGCAAAATAGTGCCCATTGCCGAAAGTATTCCAACCAAGGCTGGGGGACCTTTTACCTAGGAGATGGGAGATGGTAGAAAGTATACCTGCAATGGGGGAACTTCTAAGTCTTTTTCCAACTCTTAAGATTCTGTGATTTGAGAATAATTGAACTTCAAAGCTGGGAAACATTTTAAGGTCCTCTGAAGACCAGTATCATAGGGATAGAAATTTAATATACAGAACTTTATTCTGATGTGTGGTACTTTATGCTAGTTTTGGGGAAGTCATTAACATACTATCAGACCATCTTAATTCACTCCATTAGTAAACTCTTTGAGAATAGTGGTTACCCGGCCTGATTTTGGCTGAGAAAGCAACTGATGAAGGTTAGTGGAGTCATGCAAATTAGAAACCAGTATTATAGTGACATAATTTTGCCTGGGCATTGTTGAAAACCGTTTATGCTATAATAATATATGTACATCAAGTTGTACTGTTTCTTGAGGTGAATGGTTAGTAGACGGTAAGACCATATCTACTTGATATGACTTAATTAGCCAAACTTGGTTAGAGTCTTGAGATATGCTAATAGTCACTTTTGACATAAGTAATTAAATTAGTCATGTGGTAAGCTCAGTTGCTGAGCTAAATGACTAATATTTCTACATCTACTTGTTATGCTAGCCTGATTATTTCAGTTGTTTATATGTGATCCAGGGTGTAAAGGAATCCTGGGACTGGGGTGTGTGTGTGTGTGTGTGTGTGTGTGTGTGTGTGTGTGTGTGTGTGTGTGTGTGAAACAATCAATATTGTTAACATGACTGATGAGCCAGTTACCTTTCCCTTTAAATTGTCTTCCTATTTCACTTCATCCAGAGCTGTGTTCAGCTGAATTGTCTCGTGGTCCTTGTGTTCAGTATTTGGCTGCTGTATGACTTGTATATATTTGCTATTGCATCTTTTGCTGCATGAATAGGTTGACTTGTCTGTTTTATTATTTATTTATTTATTTATTTATTTATTTATTTTAAAGATTTTATTGGGGAGTTGGGGAAGGAGAACAGACAAGTTGCTGTCCTTTTGTTCTTTAGTCTAGTTGTGGAGGATGTCGCTTCACTGGCCCATGTTGGCACTATCACTGTGCTCTACCCAGGGGAGGCAGTTGCATGCCGGCTCATGGCAGCTTGTGCCTACTGCCCGCTGCTCATGCTGGCCTGCGACTCACGGCAGCCCAGCTCCAGGTAAAGCTGTTGTTCACCATCTTAGCTGTAGAGGGCGCAGTGTCACTGGCCCTCATATGGGATCTGAACCGGGGCCCTGCTCCTCAGAGCTGGCGTCCCAAGCCAACTCCTAACCAACACACCACTTGGCCGGCCCTTGAGTTGTTTGTTTTATAAGAAAGAGCAAGAAGAAAGAGTCTAGAGAACCATGAAAGGAGAGATTTAATTTTAAAATAATCATTGTAAGCATTTTGTTATACTTTTTCACTATAAGAAATAGAACATTTTAATACTGTCAGTTCTTCAGTATTTCATTAGGGATTAAGCAAATCTATTGATCATCTACTGAGTGGGAATGACCATTATAGATACTAAGATGTATAAGAGATATAATCTATCAGGATGATGTAACCTTGGGAGTGAGGACAAGGGGATGGGAGGAAGAACAAACATGAGGGGAGAGGGTAGAAAAAGGAGAGTGAGGGAAATGATACTATATGAACAGCCAGTTTGTAATGGCCATAAGTATTGTCTGAATTCAGATTAAGATAAATTCACTAATGGCAAAAGTATTAATAATAAAAACAATCTCTAAATCTCTTGGGTCTTCTTCTATGCCAGGCATTATGCTAAGTGCTTTACGTGGATTAACTCATTTACTCTTCACAGTATGCCCAAGGGAAATTGCTATTATTCCTATCTTACAGATGAAGAAATTGAGGCAAAGAGCAATTATGGAATGTGCCCAGTGACACTTAGCTGTTGAAACTAATTCAAACCCAGATGCGCCCAACTTTAGAACCTGCCATCTTTTTCCTTTGTGGTAATCTAAGAGACGTAGACATAGTACCGTATTTGCCGGCGTATAAGACGATTTTTTGGCCCTGAAAAATATGCCTCCAAGTGGGGGGTCGTCTTATACGCCGGGTACACTTCAGATAGACTGCCCATAGTGCTTGCCCCGTGCCATAGTGGCCTCCCGATGCCCGCCCACTTCATTCCACATACCGTTCAGGCATCAGCAGCGCTGCTGGGTGTATGCTCGGCTGTTATGCGATTTTGCTGTTATGCGATTTTACCACACTCGCAAAATCGCACACAGCCAACCATATAACAAACTCTGTATTTTGAGTGGAAATGTTAGGGGGTCGTCTTATACGCCCAGTCGTCTTATACGCCGGCAAATACGGTAGGTGGCTCTTGAACTAGGCCTTGAAGGATGGGTTGAATTTCTATAGGGTGAAGTAGAAGTGGAGCAGTGAAGCTGGGAAGTAGAGAGTATCCAGGTGGAAAGCTGTATACACCAAGACTTAGAGGCAGAAAAGCCCAAGGCATATCAGAAGGACTTAAATAGACCAGTTTGATGAAGGATTTGTTTGGAAAGAGTAGTAAGATAAAGGAGGAGACAGCTAGGGCTGCACAGGGACTGCTGAGCTTAGGAGTTTGAACTTGATTGAGAAGGGAATGGAAAGTCCTCAGAGGTTTTTGAGCAGCTATGATCACAGTGGTGTTTTAAGAAAATTGATCTAGCAGCTGTGGGTCAGAGGGATTTGTGAGAGGGAGAAAACGGCCATGAGTTGAGCCCATTAGAGGCTGTTACAATAGTTCAGGTGTGAGATAATAAAGGCCTGACCTGGGAACGTGAAGTGGTAAGGAAAAGAAAGGGACAGATGTGAGGGATTATGGAGAAAACACGAAGTACCTGGGGATTGATTAGGCATAGGGGAGTAGGAATCAGAGATGTCAGCTCTTAGGGCACATTGTTCTTCCTAGATACTATGTTTCCTAATTAATTGGGGGCAATTTAAGAATTATCTCTTTCCCTGTATTCTTTCTGGTATGAATTTTCTGAATGAATCTGTTATCTAGGGTCATATAGATACAGTGAACTACCACAAAAATCTTTTACTTTTGCATAGTTCTTTATACTTTTCAGAGTGTTTTTGTGATCATGATCTAGAGTATTCTAGAGGAGCCTCATAAGTTATGCAAGACAGGTACCAAGGTTAAAAGACTTGCTGAAGGTTACAAAACAGGTTGGTGTAAGAACCTGAACTAGAACTAAGTTTCTTGGCTACTGGTCCACATCTCTTTCCGTGGTGTGATAAGAGAAACAGCAAATGAGTTTCTGATCCTGAGAACTTGACTGCCAGTATAGTAAAGGAACGAAGATGTGAGATACAATCAAGAACTCACACTTTGGAGCTCATTTCTATTGTAACCTTGACTTCCTAAAACAGAATCATCCAAGTCTGTGCAAATCATTTTTAAGTGACACCCTGTTTGAAGCCTATTATCTCTTAGTTTACACAGAATTCTTATAAACTTGGATATTTAGTTTCCTTACTCTTAGAAGATTATTACCAAAAACAAAATAGGAATGGGAAGTAATAGGTGCTGCTAAGGCAGTCTTCGTATAGTTTTGGGAAATGATAGCTGATAGTTTTACAGCAAGGGAGGAGGAAGAACACCTATAAATAGCTGACCGAAGAAAAAATTTAGCAGTTATAGACTACTTAATGTAAGAACAAATACCCACCTGAGACCCAGTACTCCCTTAGAGCTATTATTAGATGGTTATAATGATGACCCTGAATCACCATAAGAAATATTAATCTTGTTTTGTCTTGATTTCAGCAGTCAGGATTGAGTGAAATATATTTTTAGATAGATGTTCATCCAAGTTTCACTAAAGTTTTTTTTGTGTGTGTTTTTTTTTAAAGATTTTTATTGGGGAATTGGGGGGATGGGAACAGCGGTGGGGAATTGGGGGTAGGGGAACAGACAAGTTGCTGTTGTTTTGTTCTTCAGTCTAGTTGTGGAGGATGTTGTTTCACTGGCCCAATTTTCACTGAAGT